GATAGATGACATGATAGATGACAAATAGATAGATAGATAGATAGATAGATAGATAGATAGATAGATAATGGATGGACAGATGGATAGATGATGGCTGTAAATGATAGATGACATGATAGATCAATAGATTGATAGATAGATGATGGATGGATGGATGGATGATAGCTGTAGATGATAGATCGATGACATGATAGATGATAGACAGACAGACAGACAGACAGACAGATAGATATAGATAATAAATAGATGATGGATGGATGGATGGATGGATGGATGGACAGACGGACGGACAGGAATCCAGTTTAAAAAAAATGGGCTTGCCAATGTGAGTCCAGAGAGCACAGAGAATTGCGATTCTCCATAAATCGTGGTACAACATAAGCTCTCCTCCCATTAACATCAGCTGGCAGCTGTCTGCAAGTATTGAAAAACGAGAGGCAGCACTGAAAAAGCAAGGGGCCCAGTGATCGCAGTCCAACCTGTTTGGAATTCAGACGGAATCCAATGATTAAGAGGCTAGCAGGCAAAAACTGTGCCACAGACTGATGAATGGACCACAATGGGGAATTTCTCTCTCCAGAAAGGATCAGATCAAGCAGCTCAAATTATTAGAGCAGTTCTCTTGTCACTGTCACCCGAGGTGGGTCTAATTAGAGGTTACTCTTGACAGCGTGGCCACTTGGTATGGGATTAAAACAGGAGCCGTGGCTTGCCAAGCCCAGGCAGATAAGGGGAAAGATGCACAGTCCAAGTCAGGAGAGGGGAGCCAGAAAGGGTTGTAAAAAACGACAGCTGGAATGTAAAATGAAAACGCTCAGAAATAAGATACAAACACAAGTGGACAAGTTAGCTGGAAACATCACCCAGAGAGAGTGTAATTCTCTGATAGGGCAAGACAGAGCATTGTTTTCCCATCTGCTGGATTCAAGGTTGCGGTGCGATTATTATTTCCATAACGACAGCGGTTGCATAATTTATGAAAGAGATAACAGGACAAGAGGCTGCCACAAAGAAGAGGGAGTCGAGCTATTCTCCAAAGCACCAGAAGGCAGGACAAGAAGCAACGGATGGAAACTAATCAAGGAGAGAAGCAACCTAGAACTAAGGAGAAATTTCCTGACAGTGAGAACAATTAATCAGTGGAACAACTTGACTCCAGAAGTGGTGAATGCTCCAACACTGGAAGCTTTTAAGAAGATGTTGGATAACCGTTTGTCTCAAGTGGTGTAGGGTTTCCTGCCTAAGCAGGGGGTTGGACTAGAAGACCTCCAAGGTCTTTTTCAACTTTGTTATTCTATACATCTTAATCCATTGTACAAAATATGAAGACACTTGAACTAGCACTAAGGGACTGGAGGCTAAAACATATAAACCAATAAATATGAAGAACGGTTGCAGGAGCTGGGTATGTCTAGTTCGATGAAAAGAAGGACTGGGGGAGACATGATAGCTGTGTTCCAATATCTCAGGGGCTGCCACAAAGAAGAGGGAGTCCAGCTATTCTCCAAAGCACCAGAAGGCAGGACAAGAAGCAATGGGTGGAAACTCATCAAGGAGAGAAGCAACCTAGAACTAAGGAGAAACTTCCTGACAATGAGGACAATGAATCAGTGGAACAACTTGACTCCAGAAGTTGTGAATTTTCCAACACTGAAAGTTTTTAAGAAGACATTGGATAACCGTTTGTCTGAAGTGGTGTAGGGTCTCCTGCTTGAGCAGGGGATTGATTTTGGGGTAGCGTTCTTGTCAACAAGAGAACTGATTTGGCCCTGCCTTCCTCCAGGAAGTCTTCCTCTCAACATCCAATGCTTTCTTCTCAACTTTCCAGTCTAGCCCTGGTGGTCTGCCATCCAAGAGATAACTAGGCCCTCTTAGCAAAGCTTGTGAGGAAGCAAACAGTCTAAATCTCTTCCCCACCCCACTTAGCTTCATACTACCGAAGGAGATAAGTATCTCTCAGGCCAAGAGGTCATGGAAAGTAATGAATTCATGTCTTCTGGCCTTCTGCCCAATAATAGTTCCTAGAATGCAAAATGAGAGATGAAACCAAGTGTAGGGGTGTGGGTGTGTGTGAAGGCGATGGGCAGGGAAAAATGGGTGGAAAGCACACAACCCTCCTTTTTCCTCAGAACCTGAAGACCAGGCTCCGCCAGCTGGAGAATGGGAGAATTTTGGAAGGAATGGGAATGGGAATGGGGTAGAGTAGAGTAGAGTAGAGTAGAGTAGAGTAGAGTAGAGTAGAGTAGAGTAGAGTAGAGTAGAGTAGAGTAGAATAGAATAGAATAGAATAGAATAGAATAGAATAGAATAGAATAGAATAGAATAGAATAGAATAGAATAGAATAGAACAGAACATTCTCACTGTCAGGAAATTTCTCCTTAGTTCTAAGTTGCTTCTCTCCTTGATTAGTTTCCACCCGTTGCTTCTTGTCCTGCCTTCAGGTGCTTTGGAGAACAAGTTGACTCGATCTTCTTTGTGGCTATATTTTGGGTTTTATTTTCTCAGCCTTCTTTCCTAACACTTATATAGCTCATTCATATAGAGAACAGAACAGAAACTGAGGAGAGATGAAAGACTCAGCATGTAATAGAATAGAATAACAGAGTTGGAAGGGACCTTGGAGGTCTTCTAGTCCAACCCCTTGCTCAGGCAGGAAATCTTATACCACTTCAGACAAATGGTTATCCAATCTCCTCTTAAAAACTTCCAGTGTTGGAGCATTCACAACTTCTGAAGGCAAGTTGTTCCACTGATTAATTGTCCTCCCTGTTAGGAAGTTTCTCCTTAATTCCAGGTTGCTTCTCTCCTTGATTAGTTCCCACTCATCGCTTCTTGTCCTGCCCTCAGGTGCTTTGGAAAATAGCTTGACTCCCTCTTCTTTGGGGCAGCCCCTGAGATATTCCATGCTGAGAGTTCCACGCTGGAGGTGGCTGCTGGATTGATGGCAGACAGGGAGTGGGGGAGGTTGAGCTTTAATTCCTGCTTACAATATTCCTTGGAAAACATTCCGATGGGCTTTTCCAGGAAGTTAAAGAAGGGGGATAGTTGAAGGTGTTTTTTTTTTAATTTCCCTCAGATTACTATAATTGTATTAAGAAAAACTGTAATTTCATTCAATGACATAATTGCCATTAATTCACTGTGAACTCTTGATAGAAGGTATAATTAGTCTGGGGGGGAAAATCATAAGCAGCATGTGCAGTGAAGCACAATTCCTCACAACAGCCATTCAATGTTTAAAACCAACCTTTAAATTGTATTGTACTATTAGGGATGTGGTGGCTCAGTGGCTAAGATGCTCAGCTTGTCAATAAAAAGGTTGGCAGTTCAGCAGTTTGAATCTCTAGTGCCGTGTAATGGGGTGAGCTCCCGTTACATGTCCCAGCTTCTGCCAACCTAGCAGTTCGAAAGCAGGTAAAAAATGCAAGTAGAAAAATAGGGACCACCTTTGGTGGGAAGGTAACAGCATTCCATGCGCCTTTGGCGTTGAGTCATGCTGGCCACATGACCACGGAGACGTCTTCGGACAGCGCTGGCTCTTCGGCTTTGAAACGGAGATGAGCACCGTCCCCTAGAGTTGCGAACAACTAGCACATATGTGCGAGGGGAACCTTTACCTTTACAGCTAAGTAAAATAAGGGTTTGAGAACTCAATAGTGTTTCACTGTCCAGCCGACTCTTGGCCCAAGGCTTATTTAGAGCTCCGTTTTAAAGAGATGGGCCGTTCATTTCAAAAAGAGAGATTTTGATACAATTGCTTTATTTCATCAGCCAGTTATTGCTTGCTCCGACAAGCTCCGCGAGATCATTTAATTAGAAAATGCTTGCCAACCTGCTATAAACGCAGCATGGATTTGTACACTTTTTAATCATCTTTTCCTGCAAATCGCTTCCTATTCCTTTCCTATCTTCTAAATATTTTTTCCCCCCTACCTACTTTAAGCTTTGAAAACTCAGGAAAAAAAAAACTGCTTGAAAGAACTGAAACTTCTGCAGTTATTTGTCTCTCTCCTGACCCTTTGTCTTATAAACTCTAAAATCTTCCAATGGAAATGTTTTTTTTTAAAAAAGAAAATAATATTAAATACACCATTCTTTAATTATTATTTTTTTAAAAATAACCCTGAACTTATACAATTTGCTGTGTTTTCAATGCAATAAATCTAAACTCTCTTCCTCCCCATGCCAGGAAAAAAATTTCTAAAATAATTTTAATTTCTGGGTTTTTTGTTTTTTTTCAGGGAGCTGTAAATTTAGCAAAGAGAACTATTTTTGGAGTAAAAAGTGGTACGTATGGGCACAGAGATGCCAGGAGTGGGCTGCTGGGGATTCGCAGGAGTTTGGGAGAACCTCTAGCTAAGATTCTGTATAGTTCGGAGAACTCCCAAATCCCACTCCTGGCTGGCCCCGCCTACCCCGCCCCTCCCAAGAGTCCCCACACGGCCTGTTTTGGGTGTAGGTCGCGCACGGAGGGTGAAAAAATGGGCCTACTGGAAGTTCGTGACTGTCTCCGGCCTCCAGAGGGCCTCCGGAGCCTGGGGAGGCCTTTTTCGCCCTCCCGGAGGCTCAAGGAAAGCCTCCAGAGCCCGGGGAGGGCAAACCCCCCCCCCCCACTGCTATGGTGCAGGAGGCCAAGTAGGCCACACTCACGACGACCACTCAGCAACCGGGCAGAGAACCCCTTGCTAAAATTTTTGAAGCCCATCCCTGACACATGCAAACATATTTGGGCATTACCCCAAGTCATAGTGTGGTTTATTTTGGGGGGCAGGTGATAATTCAGCTTCCTTCCCAAATAAAAGGTTCGGGCAAAAGGACAGAAGTGTTTTCAGATCCATCCTTCTTCAGGTCTTTGAATCGTAATACTGTACATCTTCTCTCAAGACATATATTATCCCACCCACCCCTCAAAAGCAGCAGTTCAGTAGTTAACTAATTACAAAGGCCTCTTTAAAAAAACAACAACATTTAATTAGGTGTGTGAATTAATCCCACTCACCACAAAAGCTATCAAGCTTCTTAGGGGAGATTCCCAGTGAAAGCAGCTTCCAAGGAACTGTATTGTGTTCCAGATTGCCATGGAGATTCTTTTCACCCGATCCACGTTTCTTGATAAGATCTGGTGGGCAGCCAAGGGAATGAAAATAAGGAAGAAGATGGTCAGGATGACAGGCGAAGTTTTAGCATAGGTAAGCTGGACAGCAAAAAAAAAAAAACAACCTTCCAAACAGACTTAAAGTATTCATATTTGTTCTGTTCTATGTATATAAAGCTCTGACCCAGCTCCCCAAACACGACAAAACCTCTGAAGTTAACTCAAAGATTCCTTTATCAGGCACACCGGCAGCCTCGGCAAAAAGTTTCTCTCTCAACGCAAGCTAACAAGTCCGACCAGAAGATCAATAGTTGTCTGCCACATCTACTCATCTCTGTCCCCTGCCTTTTATCCCCAGAGCTAGGGTGTGGCTTCGCTAGCAGCAGTGGCTCTTCCTTCCCAAGGACCGGTCCATAGATTTCCACTGCTCTCCTCTCCTCTGCCTTCTGGGCATCCACGCATCAGGCACTGGACCCAGCTATTCCACCTCTTGCTCATCAGCCACCTCCAAGGTATTGGTTCTCATCTTTAAAGCACTCCATGGCTTAGGGCCCGGGTATTTACGAGACCACCTTCTGCCACCGATAACCTCCCACCGGCCAATCCACTCCCACAGAGAGGGTCTCCTCAGAGTGCCATCGGCCAAGCAATGTCGACTGACGACCCCCAGGGGGAGAGCCTTCTCTGTGGGGGCACCCGCCCTCTGGAACGAGCTGCCCCCAGGAATACGACTGATCCCGGACCTCCGTACTTTCTGTCGAGCTTTGAAGACCTTCCTATTTCAACAAGCCGGGCTGGCTTAAAATTTTAACGGGTTATTTTATGGGCAAAGGGTTTTAAATTTTGGGAAGCCAATTTGATTTAATTCTGTTTTAATTCATCTTAATTTTTATATTATATGTATTTTAATCTTGGCTGTTCACCGCTCTGAGTCCTTCGGGAGAAGGGCGGTATACAAATTTAATAAACCTAACCTAAACCTAACCTCCTTTGTTTCGGCTGCTGGAGGGGCCACAACAAAAGGGCTTTTTACAAGTTTAAATTATTTTTATTGTCAGATGGGTGTGTTATACCAGGCTTGGAACCTGTTGACAATTCTCTTTGCTCTACAAGGCATCGTTCTTAAAATGCTAGAAGAAAATATGATGGGAAAAAAAAGTGTTTAATTGAAACAAGGGTTTTTCCTGATCAAGGAACCCAATGAATCCTTATATTCAATCCTGAATCTAACATTCCTATTCAGCATTAAGCTTCTACTGGGGTGGGCAAGTGACGTCATGTAAATCCAGAGGTTGCCATGGCAATAATGCAAATGATGTGATTTGGATGATATCATAGCTCGTATAACATCCTCTAATATCTACTTAGAGAGTCTCAATCATCCAGGTCACGGTTGGTCCCAAAGGCGCTTTTTCAAAAGGCAACTGGACTTCCTTGCTATTTTTGTCTTCGAAAATGTTTCGCTTCTCATCCAAGAAGCTTCTTCAGTTCTTCTTCAGTTCAGAACTGAAGAAGCTTCTTGGATGAGAAGCAAAACGTCTTCAAAGAAAAACAAGGAACTCCTGTTGCCTTTTGAAAAAAAGTCCTTTGGGACATTCTCTGATTTGATTACTCTGGTTTCTAATAGAGATCAATGTTTCTAAACCAGTGTTTCTCAACCTTGGTAGCTTGAAGATGGGTGGACTTCAACTCCCAGAATCCCCCAGCCAGCACTGCTGGCTGGGGATTCTGGGAGTTGAAGTCCATCCATCTTCAAGCTTCCAAGGTTGAGAAACACTGAAGTCCACCCATCTTCAAGCTTCCAAGGTTGAGAAACACTGAAGTCCACCCATCTTCAAGCTTCCAAGGTTGAGAAACACTGAAGTCCACCCATCTCAAGCTTCCAAGGTTGAGAAACACTGTTCTAAACCATCTCCTTTGTCCTGTTGACGTTGATGTTTAGATGTTCAGCATCTAACAACGATCTTGACAACTTTCATGTCTTCGATCTTGAAGTACATGGAGATGTGGCACTTTCCAAAGAATGAATAAATAGAGTTATGGAATTCTGGGGTCAACAGGGTTTCATCGAGCAGCCTCAACATTGACCTACCTTCTTGGAAAACTTGCGGTTGTCTTCCAAGCATCTCCTCTCGCGTGGAGAAAAGGTTCTAACACTCGCTCTTATCTGAAATAAAGTAGCAACGTCAGAATTCAGAGTTCCGTTTAAGCATTCAGCCACCACAGTGACAAGCGTACACCTGGATATCTCCTGCTAATATTTCTTTTATCTAAATAGTTCTCGACAGTTGAAACCTCCCTTACTGAGACTATTCTTCAGTCTTGAAGAAAAGGTCACTCAGAAACATGCCCACATGAAGAGGTGATTCAGGATAAACCATAGTTTATGGAATGGGTTGCAGCTGGTCTAGGGTTTAGATCCGTGATGGGAAACCTATAGCAAGCATGCCACGGCTGGCACACAGAGCCCTCTGCGGGCACACAAGTCATCGCCCAGCCCAGCTCCACCGCACATACACGCGTGCCTCCCGTCAGCCAGCTGATTTTTGGATGTGTGGAAGGATGGGGCACATGCGGGAGACACGCGCACATGTACGGGGATGGGGATTACACGTGCATGCGAGAGAGGGGGCAGAGCTCAGGGGGTGCAGCGCCCCCCCAGCCCGTTTTTGGGCCCAGGAGGCTTCAGGGAGGCCTGCTAGGCCTAAATGGGGGGCAGGGGGGTTGCGTGTACATGCACAGGGGGCAGGGGGAGCATGGGGGGTTGTGCACTTATGCGCAGGGTGGGTGCACATTTTTTTTTTAATTTGATTTATATGCCGCCCTTCTCCGGAGACTCAGGGCGGCTTACAGTGCGTTAAGCAATAGCCTTCATCCTTTTGTATATTTTTATACAAAGTCAGCTTATTGCCCCCACAAACTGGGTCCTCATTTCACCTACCTTAGAAAGGATGGAAGGCTGAGTCAACCTTGAGCCTTGGAGAGATTCGAACCAGCAGTAATTGCAGGCAGCTGTGTTAATAACAGGGTGCACTAAACCACTTACTATCAAGGCTCTTTGATTGCATTATGGGTGCCGGCATGCGCGCACGCTCTCGCGCACATGCGCTTTCGGCACACGACGAGAAAAAGGTTAGCCATCACTGGTTTAGGGAAACGCAATTCTGATCTCTCTCAACAATGAAGCCAGAATCAGGAAAAAGAAACGTCAATTTCCACTTTTCAGGAACCCATTTATTTATTGAGGGTGGTGCACCTTCCGCCGCGCCCTCAAGACCTTTTTATTCCAACAGGCTGGCCTGGCCTAACCTCCCTTTTTAATTGTAAATTTTCAACTTGTCTAAAATTTTAGGGTTGTTTTAATCTGTTCTGGGCCAAATTTATTTAATTAGGTTTTTATATACTGTTTTTAAATTTTGTAATTCTGTGTGTTTTATCTCTTGGCTGTTCACCGCCCTGAGTCCCTCGGGAGTAGGGTGGTATATAAATCTAATAATAATAATAATAATAAAAATCTGTTGTTAAGATGCTGGGCTTGTCAGCTGGAAAGCCGACAGCCCTGGTTCGAGACCCGAGCTCCATGCGACGGGTTGAGCTCCCATCCTCACCCAGCTTCTTGCCAACCTAGCAGTTCAAAAGCATGCAAATACGAGTAGATAAATGGGTACCACTTCCATGGTGGTACCCATCAGATCATCTTACACCTTCTCCTCTAAAAACCACAGACTTACAGGATTAAACAGGACTTCTATTTCCAAGTGGACCATGCCTTTTGATTGAAGTTCCAGATCTTTATTCTTTAACACGTAGCAGCTTTGCTGTCCGTTTTTAATCTGTAAGTAACAAATTTAAAAAAGTGTCAAAAATGAGCTCAATAAAGCTGCTATTTATATCACCTTCAATGCATTTGCACAACTAAAAAAGCGCAGACAAGAGCAAGAAGGACTGCAGGCTAAAACATATGAAGAGGAATTGGGTATGTCAAATTTAATGAAAAGAAGGAATAGGCGTGACATGATAGCAGTGTTCCAATATTTGAGGGACTGCCACAAAAAAGATGGAGTTGGTGGAAAAATGGGTGGAAAAGTCTTTGCATCTTATACAGCAAATATTGCGATGGGGGGGGAAGGGGAGTTGGTGTGGCACCAATCAGCTGTTCTAGAATGGGCCACCGTGGCAAATTGGCCACAGCGGTGATGGTGAATGGGCCGTGCCAGTGAACGGGCGGTAGTGAATGGGTCGCACCAAATGGGCCACGGTGGCACGGCAAACGGGCGAATGGGTGGTGGCAAACAGGCCGTGACAAATGGATGATGGCAAACGGGCCACGGCAAACAGTCCACAGCGAACGGGCCATGGCGAATAGGCCAGATGAATACCAGATGGATGCTGGGAGGCAGAGGCAGATTTTTTTTTTCTTGTTTTCCTCCCCAAAAGCTAGGTGTGTCTTATAGTCTGGAGCGTCTTATAGTCCGAAAAGTATGGTAATCAAGGAGAGAAGCAACCTAAAAATAAGGAATAATTTTCTGACAGTGAGAACTATTAACCAGTGGAACAGCTTGCCTTCAGAAGTTGGGGGTGCTCCATCACTGGAGGCTTTTAAGAAAAGACTGGACAGCCACTTGTCCTGGAATGATATACTATATATATAGGGTGTCCTCTCCAGCAGATTCCTCCAAGATTCCTTCTAGCAGTGCAGTATAGTATAGTATATTATAGCATAGCATAGTATAGTATAGTATATAGTATAGCATAGCATAGCATAGCATAGCATAGCATAGCATAGCATAGCATAGCATAGCTAGTGTTAATGTTAATGTTAATGTTAGTGTTAATGTTAGTATCAGTATCAGTATCAGTATCAGTATCAGTATTAGTACCGTTTCCCCCAAAATAAAACATCC